TCCGGGGTGTCGTGCTGGGCCGTCCTGGTAGGTGAATCTAGAGTATCATGATGAAAATGACAATGTAAGCGTAGGTCTTCATTGTGGTCTACACATAAGTAGTAGAGTCAAATTCCCATAAAACTGTATCCACCCCTTACACCCAAAATTTCAAGATACCAGAGCAGCACACACTTAAGGACCACTCAGAAAGCCCAAAAAGTGTACATGGCTCTCTTTTATTTTGGGGCAACAACAAACATTCATAAGTATCCTGAGAATACTTTAAAAAAAATATATCTTGTATAGGGTCTCACTACACTGCTCTGACTCATAGTGATCCTCCTGTTTACAGCCTCCTCCACGCTGGGATTACAGGCATGTGCCACCATGCCCGGTCTCAGTGGTACCGTGGATCAAACACCGGTCCCTGTAGTTGCCTAAGCAGGCACTTAGTCCACTAAGCTATCTCACAAAACCTGAGAATACTTCTCTTATTTGTCTATTTGCAGGACATTTTTTAAAATCTTTTATTCTTTTTTTTTTTTTTTTTGGCAGAACCGGGGATTGAACTTGGGCTCTTGCACTTGCAAAGGAAGCACTTACTCCACTGAACCATCTTCCCAGCACCCTTTTATTCATTTTAATGAGGAAAAAAAAGATAAAATAGCATGAAATAGTTTCAAAACAGGTTAATAGGACAGTTACAATAACTAATACATTGCATATTGTCTTCATAGTAGTTATTCAGAGGAAAAGATGTAGACATATCATGTCTCAACAATATTAACAAAAACTTTTCTTCTCACTGAACTCACAGAAAGTAGCTGTATATCTATCCTATCTTGTATATACATATTTTTTTTGTTTTCTTTTGTCAGAGATGGGTGTTCCACTGCAGTTAGAGAAGCTGTATTTGGATAAGTCTTTAAAGGACCTTTTCACACTAGAAGCCAGTCTAAAGATTGTAGGTACTTGCATTCAGCAAAATCACCCAATATAGTCCAATAGTCCATAATAGTAGAGGGTTATCAGCAGAACTGTAACTTATCACAAGTTGGTTATTTGAGCCTTTTACAGCTCAGCATGTTAATATGGCATTACTTTTTATACCTCGTGGTTATACTTTTCTGCTGGATAGTTAAGACCAAGTTAAAGCAAGACATATAACTAAAAGTGTAACTTTTGTATCTGACAAGGTCAGTCAAATCCCCTCAGGGGGCTGGTGAGATGGCTCAGTGGTCTAAAGCACCTACTTAGAACAAGCTAAGCTAAGCAAAACACAGGGACCGTGGTTCAATCCCCAGCACCACATGCCAGCCAGGCCCGCCCCCTGGTGGGCTGAGCTGGCCACACACACACTAAATAAACAAATAAATAAATAAATATTAAAAAAAAAAAACCAAATCCCCTCAGGATTTACCCTGAAACCATATACAGCACCTTGTAGATCTTTTATCAGTCTCAGCCATCTGCATGAGTCACGACCATTGCTTGACCAATTTTCACACTGTGAAAGCCTGAGAGAATTTTTTCTCTATAGGTGACTCTCCTTAGGCACACTATATCATCGATCACTTTCCTCTATGGCCCCATAATCTCCTTAATCAGAAAATTTGGGACATCACTAAGTTACAGGATGTCGTAGCACAAGTTTTCTTATATCCTGAGTCCCCACTGACCCTGAAGGGCTAGAGCCAAAATACTGGCTATCCTTGTAGCCCCTCTATTTTTCTAATTTTCAGTCTGCAAACTTCAGTTGCTAAACATCCAGAAGAGCAACTTAATGATATTGTTACCCTGTAACAGAAATAGTTGAGTTTAACATCACTGTCTGAATATCAAACACCTTAGACACAACATGGGACTGCTATTTTCCAACAACCATGGGTATTCTAAAATTTAAATCCCTATAGAATGTGAAAAAAAAAACAATTACACATTTTACACAGAAATTTAGACATCAAACCATATACAACATTGGATGCAGGACATTTTAAATACACCTTCTATATTCCTATTTCTTGTAAACTCTTTCATTCCTATGCTCTCCTATGCTGGGCCAGAGAGCAATGAGTACAGAAAGGTTCCAACTGAGTAACTTTCTACCTCAGAAGCCCAAACAACAGAAAAATATAAGAGCAGGAGGGACACCTCTGTAACTTCCTATGTCTTAATACTGCGGAAGAAATTCTGAATTCTTTTTCCTCACTGCATTTTTCAAGATCAATGATACAGAGAAACAAATGATGCATTCCTCTAAAAGAAAAGCACAGAGAAGGAAAAGTTTTCCCATAATAGGAAATTCAAACTCACCTATTATGGGAACTCACCTCCCAGAAGCTTCCATTTGGTGCTGGAACGAAAAGCCTCCATCTGCTTTACCTCTTCTGGCCGCTCATCCACAAACTCAGCCACCTTTGGAAGGAAGGACATTGTGATGAGGAAGAACACAAGATCTAGCCAAGATGCACTTCTGTCTCAAGAACCTGAAGCTACTATTAAGAACAGGAATGACACTAGGCATGGGGTGCACACCTATAATCCCAGCACTTGGGAGGCTGAGGCAGGAAGAGCACCATGAATTCAAAGCCAATGTGGGCTACCCAGTGACTTCAAGGACAGCCTAAATGACACAGCACAAGCCTGTCTCCAAAATAAAAAGATTCTCCTTCCTAATATATATAGGGCACAAATATACAAAACAATCATGAAAACATATGTAATGGTCCTTAGTTATGTTTGTTCCATAAAGCTCTGATCGTCCCTATTGGCTTAATTGTAGATCTTCTTTTTTTCTGGGCCCAACTCAGCCTGCACGGGGGGGGGGGGGGGGGGACTGCACAACAATGTCGTGCCAGGGATAAAACAGAGGTCCTTGTGGCTGCCTAAGCTTGCCTCTAAGCAGGCACTTCAGACCGCTGAGATATCTTGCTGGCTAAATTGGAGATTTTCCTCTGACCAATCAACTATTCTCCACAGATTAATTTCTCTCATTACTAACCTTTTTAATGTTTCAGCTATACAACTGCCACTTATAAGCCAAATCACTGCTACAATTTACTTTTACATTCGAAGTGCATACAAGAGCCGCCTCCCTGTCACGCCTATTTCTAATCCAGGACTTTGGGCCCTCTAAAACCTTCCTTGTTGTGAACAGTCACAATGACATCTTCTTGAATCCAACCAAGGGGAGCCACTGAGATGGACACAGAATCCTAGAATCTTTCATGTTTTACGAAGTTCTACACAAAGTAGAATTTTGCCTGCCACCCCAACCCCAATAATAGTGTTGGGAAGTGAACCCAAAGCCTCATGCCCACCAGAGAAGTGATCTACCACTGGGATACATCTGCAGCCCTGGAATTTTCTCCTATTTATTTATTTATTTTTTATTTTTTTAATTTTTTTGGTGGTACCAGAGATCAAATGCAGGACCTTGCACTAGCCAGGCAAGTACTTCTTCCACTGAGCCCCGCCACTTTTTTTATTTTTGGTACCAGAAACTGAACTCAGAACCTTGCACTTGTCAGGCAGGTGCTGTGCCACTGAGCTATCTCCCCAGTGAATCTTCTCTATAGTATCTCTAATAAATGCTCATTCACCCAATCCCTTCCTGACAAGGAGGTCATTGACAAAGAACTCCTTCTCTTACAAGGAAGTTCACTGCATTTTTTGCAGTATTAGAAATGTGTTACTGGGCCAGCTAGACAGCTCAGCAAATTAAAGTGCCTGCTTAGCCGGACAAAGGGACCTGGGATTCAATCCCAGGCCTGCAGTGCTGGCCCCACCCTCAGGGTAGGCTGAGACGGCGAGTAAGACTGCACATGGTGGCACATGCCTGTAATGCTAGCACTCAGCAGGCTGAAAAACAGGAAGGTTCACTACTAGTCTGGATCTGTGTAGTGAGACCCTGTAGACTCTGTACTAAATACATAAAAAAAGAAATGTCTTAATATTATTGGGCCTTTGTTTACCCTCCTATAAATTCTTTCCATCTTAATTCTAACCTCTAATACAAAAGATCCCCTTTCTACATGACAGACTTTCAAAATGTTGACAAAATAAATTCTAGTTACAGAGCAGCAACTGTGTACCAGGCACTGTGTTTTGCCCTTTTCTTATATTACTTCACTCAATCCTCACAACAATACCACAAAGAAAGACTGTAGGGTACTTAGTTACCAGCAAACTGACCCAGAGAACTTAAATAACCTCAAGTCCCACTAGCAAGCTGCAAAACTGGAATTCAGACCCAAGTTAGGTCTCCTTTACTACTTCTCTTCTCCCAAGCCTCTACCGTCATGCCTCACACAACCTACTGCTGACCTCTCCCTCTGGGCACTGCCGGCATAGGCTTTCAGGTGCAATGAACTGCGATCTATCACTCCAACTCTGCCACTCAGAACTGTGTAACCTTTGGCAAATTATTCTAAGCTTCAGTTTCTTCATTGTAAAAGCCAGACTTGGGGCTGGTGACACAGCTCAGCTATCTGAAGCGCCTGCTTAGGCAAGCACGCAGGAACCACGATTCAATCCCCGACACCACATGCCGCACCAGCCCTGCCTCCAGGGTGGGCTGAACCTGCCACAAAAAAAAAAAATAATAAGTAACAATAAAAACCAGACTTAAAGGACTGCCATGAGAATCAATGATAACATTCATGTAAGCTTAGTAGTATTTAATATATGGTAAATGCTCAATAAAATCATTAAATGCACTAAATGCAGTTACTCTTATATGAACTATTATCATAATTATGCTTGTGATTACTAGTGGTCATAGTAATCTTGCAGTAACAAAAATGAACTCAATAATCAAGATCAGTTTTAACCACTGCAGAGAACAGTGGAGGCCTAATGCCTCCTTTATTTAGGGCTTTGGACCATCACAAAAGCAAAAGACAATACTGCAAAGGAAAATTAATAGGCTTGACTATATAAAACCAAAAAGGCAAAAGTTATTATAAATGAAAAGGCAAATGACAAAACATACCTACAATATATAAAATGTGTATGTTCTTTTCTATAAATACTAAACAATGAAAAAATCAAAGTCTTCATGCTGTAATAGCATGTGATACACATGTACAATATATCTTTTTTTTTAAATTATTTATTTATTTTTATTTATTACATTTATTTATTGTGTGTGTGTGTGGCCAGCTCAGCCCACCAGGGGGCGGGGCTGGCTGGCATGTGGTGCTGGGGGATCGAACCGCGGTCCCTGTGCTTTGCCAAGCTTGTTTCAAGTAGGTGCTTTAGACCACTGAGCCATCTCTCCAGCCCCATGTACAATATATCTTCAAAAATTATCTTTTTTTAAAAATGTATTTAGTACAGATTCTAAAGAGTCTTACTATGTAGATGGGATTCGTAGTGATCCTCCTGTTTTCAGCCTCCCAAGCACTGGGACTACAGGTGTGCGCCACCACACCCAGTCTCAATCTCCGTTTTTGATCCTGGGAATCAAATACCAGTCCCTGTGTCTACCTAAGCAGGCACTTTAGTCCACTGCGCTATCTGGACAGCCACATACAAAATTTATCTTGCTGTTGAAATTATTTAAAATTTTCTCTCATTCTGGGTATAACAACTATAACTCAGTTCTTTTACTCATCTATACATCTCCAATTCTTAAGCAAGAACGTACAACTTTAAAGCTTAGTTGAATCAAAGAACAAAATAGGTGGATAAGTCCCTTTTAATTGAATACACTTATTATTTTTAAGGTAGACTCCACCAAACTGAACCATGAATAATTCCGCCCATGGCTCATCACTGTGTTGAGGGGTCTGCCCTTTTGTTCTGATCTGTACAGTAATGGACCCCTCTGTAAACAGAGAAGTCAATCAATATGCGTTGTTCACATTATGATGGGGTTTTATACCCATCAAAACAATCATAAATTGAACCTAAGTTGAAAATGCATTTAATAGGCCTGACATGGACCAGCCAGGCATCGTGGGGCACACCTGTAATCCCAGCACTTGAAAGCTGAAACAGGAAGATCACTCAAGGCCAGCACAGGCTACATAGTGATTTCAAGGGCAGTCTGATCTATGTCTATGTCTATGTCTATGTCTGTCTGTCTGTCTCTCTCTCTCTCTCTCTCACACACACACACACAGAGTACAGTTTCACCTGAATGCATCTTGCTTTCACACTATACAGTAAAAAAAAAAAAGTTAAACCTTCATTAGGTCATGAAAGAAGACTATGATAAGCCGCTCTTGGGAAAATGTCACCTCTTCTCTGTACTCAGCTCTTGGTCCTACAAATCAGTATCCTGGGAGTCAAGACTGAGAAACCTGAGCCACTGCAAAGTTATGACAACAGGACTACCCAAAAGACACCTACCACAGGCAAATCCCCATCATCTTCCTCCTCCTTTTCTGGTTTTGTAGTAGAGATAGCTGTCCAGCTCACATCATCATCAACAATCCGCATTCTAAATGGGAACAATAAAATGATCAAAAAAGAAAAGAACACTTATTTATTGGTTTAAAGGTGATACTAAAAATTCTGCATGGCCCCATCTTTGCCTATCCAGACCACTTTACCCCATGGCACTACACTCTCCATTCATCTTCGTTGGTCATCTTGGGGTGCTGGACTGAGTCAAGTTCCTTACCATATCAGTTTTTACAAATTCAGATCCTTCCCTTAACTGATGTACTTTTCTTCTTGTTCTTTATCAGGAGATTCTTACTCATCCTTCAGGTTCTAGCATCAATATAATAAATCCCTTGGATGTATCTTCCTTCCCTACCTCTCCCTAATCCCAGGATAAAAACCCCTACACCACATGCTTACGATACTTTCATCATATCTATCGCAAAACAATGAAACCAATTAGTTGTATAAGTAGCTGTAATAAGCTTGTATTCTTATTAAAGTATAATAAGAATAAAAAAGTAGTAAGCAGACTGGGTGTGGTGGAGCGCACCTGTAATTCCAGCTCTTGGGAAGCTTAAACAGGCAGATCACTACAAGTCCGATCTAGTACTGAGACCCTAAACACCCTGCAGACCTTTCCCTAAAAAAAAAAAAAAAAAAAAAAAGCAGTAAGCATTCTTGTTCAGAGAAGCATCCTGGATATCCTGCAGGAACTGGCCTAGGAAGTAGTCTGCCCCCCACATCAATGACTTCTGAGTCCATGGATGTAATCAACCACAGACTGAAAATATTCAGGGAAAAAAACTGTTACCTGTATTAAACAGGTACAGACTCTGTCATTATCCCAAAAATAATACAGTATAACTCATGACAGAATTTATACTGTGGTAGGTACTATAATCTACACATGACTTAGAAGATGAATATGGGTTATGCACAAATGCTATGCCACTTTATACAAGAAACCCCAGTATCCACATATTTTGGAAACCCATTCCTAAATTACTGAGGGTCAACTATATTCCATAAATAGTTGTTATATGGATAAATTATGACATAGTTATTATATAAAAAGCTAAAAACACTTAAAACATCTCTGATCACAACAAGCACTTAATATGGATATAATGTGTGTCTAGAAGCCCTCCCAAAGCTCAATGCAGTCATGGGGGACCAGCTTTTCAGAGGTGGCTGAATCTAGATTTTGTGGCTGATTCATGGTCCAATGCTGGGATTAAGAAAAAGGCTTGTGGGCCAGCCAGACAGCTCAGCAGACTAAAGCTCCTACTTTGGCAGAGCGGCAGAGCGCAGCAGCCAGGATCCCACCATGCCATGTAGGCCTTGCCCCCAGGGCACCTGAGACAGCAACTGAGACTGGGCATTGTGGTGCGTGCCTGTAATCCCAGCACTTGGGAGGCTGAAAAGAGGAGAATCACTAGGAGTCCCACCTACCTAGTGAGACCCTGTCCTAAATTCATAAAAAAAAAAAAAGCTCATGTTGCTCCTCTCTGATGTCAGGTATTTGACTCAGCAACCAGCGAAAAGTAACTAAAGTAAATGTAAACAGTACTGTTCAGATTTACCCTCATTTTTTTGGGGGGGGGGAAGAGACAAGGTCCCACTACGCAGTTGAGACTCATAGTGATCCTCCTGCTTTCAGCCTCCCCAGCAGCTGGGATTACAGGCTTGCACCACCACATGCCCTGGGGGCAAGTGGTACCAGGTATTGAACCCCAGTCCCTGCACTTGCCTAAGCAGGCACTTAGTCTGCTGAGCTATCTCACCGGCCCTTTTACCCTCATTTTAAGGTCAGGAAACTGAGAGTCAGAATGATAAAATATCCTGCTAAGCCACGCTGCCTATAGAGGCACCACTATGATCCAAACACTGATCAGTACTGTCCAGAGCTCAAAGTATTTGTACTACACGGCGCTACCGCCAAAATATCCACACAGAGAGAAAGAATAGCGCAGCAATAAAGGACCAAGCCAGCAAAGAAAAAGGACAAGTTCTTTGGAAGTCTCGGATTTTATTGGATGTTTCCTAGAGCTGCCGACACCAAATACCACAAGCTAGGTGACTTCAAGTGATAGAGACACATTCTCTCCGTTTTGGAGGGTAGAGGCTGAAATCAAGTCCAAATCAAGTACCTACACAGTCATTCTCCATAAATCTGTGGGAGCTTTGCAGAACTGGGGATTGAACTCAGGCCCTTGCGCTTGCCAGGGAAGCGCTTATTCCACTGAGCCATCTCCCAGGCCCTTGGAGCTTTTCTTTTGAGACAAGGTCCTGCTAAGTCACTAAACTGCTCAGGTTTTGCTCGAACTTGTGCTCCTCAGCCTAAGCCTCTTAGTTGTACGAGGTTTACGACCTGGGCTACCAGGCTCGGCTCTTCCTCTTACACCTCCTGCTAGCTTAGGCCTGGGCCAACCTTAACTGTGGCTGCAGGAATCTGACCCAACTTCCACCTATATGTGAGGTTTTCTCTGTGAAAAGTGTCCTTCTTCTTAAAAGGACAACCACCCACCTTAATCAAGGGTGATCTCACCTTAACTGGTTACACCTACGAGGATCCTATTTTCAGTTAAGGACACTGAAATTTTCAATAGCCAGGTATTTGGGGAAGGAGAGCACTTTTCAACGCAGGACACTGGGCTGACAAATTTCCTCATGTAAAAATGGGAACAGTGATAACTATTTCACGACAGTGGGAAGCTTAAATCAACGTATATATGTTCCAAGTCCTTAGAAAGGCGTCTGGCACACGACAAGAAATGTATCAACGTCAGTCGTTACGGTCAGCAAGAGTGTAGGACAGGAACAGGACATGCTTACGGCTCTCTGATTTAAGATCAGAGTCCTGGGGTCTGGGACCGCAAGAGCTCAATCTGCACCCTAAAGGTCCGAGCCCGGACGCTTTCTTTCCATGAGATTCTGTCTTCGGGGCACGACAGTGGACCTGGGCGAGAGAACCGAAGTCTACAGAAGCGGGAAAAGGCTAAGGAAGGAGAGTTACAGCTGGCGTGATCCCCGGCGCCGCTCGGAGGGGGCAGCCCGAGCGGTGAGCCGCAGCCGGCGCCGGAGCGCGGAGGCCGCCACGGCAGGAGCGAGGAGCGAGCGGGCAGGCGGGCGGGCGGG